ACACACACACACACACACACACACACACACACACACATATATATATGTGAACTTTTTAAAAATTATATGACATAACTAATAATTTATTGTAAATTATTTTGTGGATCCCCAAGCTACAGCTCACAGACTACAGTTCAAGAACCTGTGGGATGGTGTGTTGGTTTGTTTGTTTTGGAATAGAACTTTGTTCATGTTTACACTTTGTGTCGTCTTTACTGATGTCACAAAAAAACCCTAAAAAAATAAAGACTGCAGGGGAAGAAGTGGTGAATAAAACAAAAAGTAAAGTGCTCTGTGGAGACCAGTCTAAAAAAAGGTGCTATGTAAGCATAAACAATTCAAATTTGACCTGTAAGTCATACTGTGACCTCCTGCAGCTTCACTGTYATGGCCAAAATTATCATGGCTGCTGGAAACCCAAGGGCACCGACAAAGCACAAGGAACTCGAAAATAAAAAGCAAAAATGATTTAATCAAAACTAATTAGCGGACGTGGCAACTGAAATGACTTACACACACTCACTGGGGAAAACACTGAGAAGTGCGCGCATACACAAAGAACAGACCACGGCTGAAAGCAACACACAGAAAAATTCAGGGTATAAAGAAAACCCTAAAGAATGCAAATCACCAACACCTGGCAGGGAGACAAAAAAAGAACAGGTGTGGGAGGGACTGGAGCAGAAACAAAGTACACATAAACACACACACATACACACACAGAGGAATAAAGAAACWCTAAGTAAAAGATTGCAAACACACATCCTCAAAAATAATAAAAGCAAACTTTATTCTTTGTATCTCGTCTGACTTTTGTACATTGATGTTCAACACATGAAGGGGGAAAAGAATCCTGTTAATGCTGAACAGCATGAATAAAGCTTTTTGTTTTCAGCCTCTGAACAGGGTGCCTGAGGACAACAGACACACCCAAGACTTGTTTCTTTAAACAAAAATAAAGAATGAATGAATCTTAAACATTCAGAAGACCGGTCTTTACTTGCAGACGAACAATGTTTCAACATGAKTTATTGTGTCAGGAGGCACACGCTGCAACTACAGTGTTATTTCCTTCTGTTGTGTKTCGCTCTCTAGTCTTTATCTCACACACAGACACAACTTTCACCAACACCTGGTTTGGWCAACGAGCTGCTGCACGCTTTAAACTGAGAACAAAGTTCACTCGTGCTCGTTCTCACACAGGAAACATATAAAGAGTAAGAACCATAAACAAACTCCAGTGCGTTCACACTCTCACACAAAGAAKCGCACACAAAGGAGGGAGAGGAACGTCTGCACAGAGCTGAATCTCATGTRAGGCTAATAAAACTGAACAGCAGTGCAGCACGAAGGGGGCGAGGGAGACTGGCTTTTGCTTGTTTCTTATTTTCACCTTATTATTTGACAAACCGTTTGTAATGCTGAGGATTTCTTTGACTAAACAAACTTAACTAAAACAAAGAATTTGCACTTAGATTAATTTTAGAATCTAAATTTACAAAACTAGTTTTACTCAACACGTTTTTTTAAATCAAAGCATAGATAAAGGAGACACATCACGCTTTTAAATCCTTTTCACATTTAAATCTTTCAGTTGGGGTCTATATAAAAGTGGACTGCAATGCTTTGGCCTGAATTCCTCCTTATTGTAACTCCGCAAGACTCTCTTTCACCCCTTTGTGTCTCAGATCAACTCGTTTTGAGACTGTGTCTTTCAACAGAATATAAAGGTAGCAGCACCGGGAGAACTAAATTAAACTTCTCTGCACTCGTCGAGACTAAAAGTACACAACAAAATGTATTTAATGGCTAAAAAGGGGGATTTTGCATGAAATGTCCCCTTTAAATGTATTTTATTGCTTCATCTTTTAGTTGCATTTTTAAATAAATATGCCATGCTTACAAAGACTATCTATCTATGTATCTATGTATCTATGTATCTATCTATGTATCTATGTATCTATCTATGTATCTATGTATCTATGTATCTATCTATCTATCTATCTATCTATCTA